AGATGTTCAGGAGCTGTCGCTGCTGACGAACAGAGAAAGAAGTTTTCTTCTTATCGCCAGAGAGGCAGTCGGAGCTCCCTTCTTTCTCGTGATGCGTTGTTCTTTTGCCACGAACAACCTTTGGGGACTGTTTTCTTGCTTTGGAGCATGAGGTCTTTTCTTTTGAAGGCTGGCGACTGAGGAAGGTATAAGAAATCTCCTCTAGGGAAATCTGCTCTTGCCAAGAATAACTAGGAATGAGAACGCTCTGTCCTCACCTCTTGAGAGATATCTCTCTTCTATCCCTTGGAGAGGAAGTGGTGGCAACATGGAGAAGTTAGAAGGGTTTCTTTCTTGATTCAGAGGGTGGGGAAGAGGGCTGCTCATGTCTTATTGAAGGCTGAGGGGAGGATCGGACTCTTCTTTTGTCGATTGAGAGAGCTCTGTCCTCACTTCTTGAGAGCTATCTCTGTTCTATCCCTTGAGGAGGAAGAGGGGACGACAAGGAGCTCCTCTCTCTTCTTGTCGACTAAGAGGCAGCCGCAGTTCTTTTTGAAACTGGAGATGCTTTGAGCCCTGTCTTCTTCGACTAGAAGCGAGCTCCCTTCGATTCTCTTCAGAGGAGATGGAGACCTACCAAGAGAGGGAGGAGCTCGCTGCTAGAAATCAGCCGAATGACTTGGAGGGACTCTCTCCGTGTTTTCGTTGAGGGTTGGGGGAATCCCTACCGTTTCTTCTTGAGCGTCAAGAAAATAACAGGATCTCTTTCCACTGCCAAGAGAGAAAGGAGGTTTCTTCTTCTTGTGCGTATGCTGTTTTCCATCTTTTGAGAAGGTAAGGGCAGTAATCAGGATCTCTTTCCACTGCCAAGAGAGAAAGGAGGTTTCTTCTTCTTGTGCGTATGCTGTTCTCCATCTTTTGAAAAGGTAAAAGAAATGCTCAAGATCCAACCCCTTATGAAGAGAGAAAGGAGTTATCTTCTTTCCGACCGATGGGTAAACGGAGACCTTTGAATTCTCGTGAACTTGGAGGGGCCTGTCTGCTGGGCTGAGATGAAGCTCTCTTGCGTCTCATTACATGGGAGGAAGCTCTCAGTGATTTCTTGTGGAGGATGAGGTAGAAAATCTTTCTTTTTGGAAGCTATGGGAGCTCTGTCTTTGTTGCTAGGAGCGAGGTCTCTTCAATCTTCTTAAGACGAAAAGGCGACATACCAAGAGGTAAAAAGGCTCTCTGCTAGAAGGATGCTCTCTTCTGTTGCCACGAATATCCTGGAGACTCTCTTCTTGTTTTGGAGCATGAGGTCATTTCCCTTTGAAGGCTGAGGGACGACCAGATGTCTCTGTTTGAAAATTGGGGGGAGCTCCACCCTTTCTTCTTGAGTTGGGGGGAGCTCCACCCTTTCTTCTTGAGTGTATGCTCTCTTCCATTTTTAAAACGGCGACGGAAATAATCAGGATCCCCTCCCCATATCAGGAAAGAAAGGAGGTCTCTTCTTGCCGAAAGGTAAACGGTGCCCTCTTCTTTCTCATGAAATTGGAGCGGCCTGTTTGCTTTGTTGAGATGGCGCTTTCTTTTGTCCCATTAGTTTGGAGGAAGCTCTCAGTCTCTTCTTGTCGAGGATGAGGCAGAGGATTTGTCTTTTTGAAAGCTAATTCAGAGCATGGGGTAGAGGGCTGCTCATGTCTTGTTGAAGGATGAGGGGAGGATCAGACTCTTCTTCTGAAGATTGAGCGAGCTCTGTCCTCACTTCTTGAAAGCTATCCCTCTTCTATCCCTTGAAGAGGAAGAGGGGACGACAAGGAGCTCCTCTCTCTTCTTGTCGACTAAGAGGCAGCCGCAGTTCTTTTTGAAACTGGAGATGCGTTGAGCCTTGTCTTCTTCGACTAGAAGCGAGCTCCCTTCAATTCTCTTCAGAGGAGATGGAGACCTACCAAGAGAGGGAGGAGCTCGCTGCTCGAAATCAGCTGAATGACTTGGAGGGACTCTCTCCGTGGTTTCGTTGAGGGGTGGGGGCATCTCCGCCCTTTCTTCTTGAGCGTATGCCCTTTTCCATCTTTTGAAAAGGTAAGGGAAGTAATCAGGATCTCTTTCCACTGCCAAGAGAGAAAGGAGGTTTCTTCTTCTTGTGCGTATGCTGTTCTCCATCTTTTGAAAAGGTAAAAGAAATGCGCAAGATTCAACCCCTTATGAAGAGAGAAAGGAGTTATTTTCTTTCCGACCGATGGGTAAACGGAGACCTTTGAATTCTCGTGAACTTGGAGAGGCCTGTCTGCTGGGCTGAGATGAAGCTCTCTTGCGTCTCATTACATGGGAGGAAGCACTCAGTGATTTCTTGTGGAGGATGAGGTAGAAAATCTTTCTTTTTGGAAGCTAGGGGAGCTCTGTCCTTTCTTGCTAGGAGCGAGGTCTCTTCAATCTTCTTAAGACGAAAAGGCGACATACCAAGAGGTAAAAAGGCTCTCTGCTAGAAGGATGCTCTCTTCTGTTGCCACAAATCACCTGGAGACTCTCTTCTTGTTTTGGGGCTTGAGGTCTTTTCCTTTTAAATGCTGAGGGATGACCAGATGTCTCTACTTGAAAATTGGGGGAGCTCCACCCTTTCTTCTTGAGCGTCCTCCCCTTTTCAAGAAAGAAAGGAGGTCTCTTCTTGCCGAGGGGTAAACGGAGCCCTCTTCTTTCTCGTGAAGTTGGAGCGGCCTGTTTGCTTTGTTGAGATGGCGCTTTCTTCTGCCGCCTTAGATTGCTCTCAATCTCTTCTTGTCGAGGATGAGTTTTTGGAGTAGAGGGCTGCTCATGTCTTATTGAAGGCTAAGGGAGGATCAGACTCTTCTTTTGAAGATTGAGAAGCTCAGTCCTCACTTCTTGAAAGCTATCTCTCTTCTATCCCTTGAGGAGGAAGAGGGGACGACAAGGGGCTCCTCTCTCTTCTTGTCGACTGAGAGGCAGCCGGAGTTCTTTTTTTCTCGTGACGTTGGAAGGGTTCTCTGCTCCTTTGAGATGCTGCCGTAGAGGATGTGCCAAGGGATCTCTTCCTTACCCTTTTGGAGAAAAGAAGCTCATTTCTTGCGGATGACGAAGCAGCGAGCTCCCTTCATTTATCGTCAGAGGAGATGATGGGAGGAAGCTCTCAGTGATTTCTTGTGGAGGATGAGGCAGACAATCTTTCTTTTTGGAAGCTAGGGGAGCTCTGTCCTTTCTTGCTAGGAGCGAGGTCTCTTCAATCTCCTTAAGACGAAGAGGCGACATACCAAGAGGTAAGAAGGATGCTCTCTTTTGTTGCCACGAATATCCTGGGGACTCTCTTCTTGTTTTGGAGCATGAGGTCTTTTCCTTTTAAATGCTGAGGGATGACCAGATGTCTCTACTTGAAAATTGGGGGAGCTCCACCCTTTCTTCTTGAGTGTCCTCCCCTTTTCAAGAAAGAAAGGAGGTCTCTTCTTGCCGAGGGGTAAACGGAGCCCTCTTCTTTCTCGTGAAGTTGGAGCGGCCTGTTTGCTTTGTTGAGAGGGCGCTTTCTTTTGTCCCATTAGTTTGGAGGAAGCTCTCAGTCTCTTCTTGTCGAGGATGAGGCAGAGGATTTTTTTGGAAGCTAATTCAGAGGATGGGGTAGAGGGCTGCTCATGTCTTATTGAAGGCTAAGGGGAGGATCAGACTCTTCTTTTGAAGATTGAGACAGCTCCTCACTTCTTGAAAGCTATCTCTCTTCTATCCCTTGAGGGGGAAGAGGGGACGACAAGGAGCTCCTCTCTCTTCTTGTCGACTAAGAGGCAGCCGGAGTTCTTTTTTTCTCGTGACGTTGGAAGGGTTCTCTGCTCCTTTGAGATGCTGCGGTAGAGGATGTGCCAAGGGATCTCTTCCTTACCCTTTTGGGGAAAAGAAGCTCATTTCTTGCGGATGACGAAGCAGCGAGCTCCCTTCATTTATCGTCAGAGGAGATGGAGACTTACCAAGAGGTAGAGGAGCTCGCTGCTAGAAATCAGCTGAATGACTTGGAGAGACTTTCTCCGTGTTTTCGTTGAGGGTTGGGGGAATCTCCACCCTTTCTTGAGCCGTCTGTCTACATTCCAAGGAGTCGTGGACATTCTGGTTGGTTAAACATTACATTACATTCACACGAACTTTGGGCGCAAGTGGCCGCCGCTTGTATGTCGCAGTGTAATACGCAGCTAGGCACCACGAGAGCGCAGACATTTTCAACGATCAATTATGCACGCATGGAGTCTGTGCCTACGTCACCCGTGTCATGGCGTGGTCTGTGGTGATGAGAATAAGCACTACTTGAATGCAAAAACACAGCCATCCAGCTGCCAAATAGACCCTATTTAAGCCGGCCACCCCCCCCCCCCATCCCCGAACCCCTCATCCCCGAAGCAAGAAAGACGGAGCAAAACCTCCGAAGCAGAAAAACACGAATTTGCAACCCCCTGAAAAGGCCCCGAAAATCTGAAGTGCCCGAAATAACGGAAACGTCGCAAATACCACGTCGAACGGCTGAAAAGTGAAGGAAAACACAGGGGCGCGAACGCGCCAGGGTCCAACTACTAGTACTTGATGTTACCGTTATAGGTTTTTGCTATTGCAAGTATTGCTATAAACATTAGGATACCTATTACTGTGTTACCATTAATTAGGTTTTGCCGTCAGTATTCTAGTTACTCTGGATTGTGCATACTGCCGTCTGCCCTCTCTCTCTCTCTCTCACACACACACTCACACTCACACTCGCACTCACACTCACACTCAAACTCGCACTCGCACTCTCACTCTCACTTTCACTCTTACTCTCACTCTCACTCTCACTCCCACACTCACTCACCCCCCTACCACCAAGAAAACAAAATCAGTGCTGCGACGCTGGCTGGACAGCAGATGGAGAAGATGTGATATTTGCTGATCCTTCTGTTGACTTGTTTTAAAACGAAGGCATTCGAGCTTTTTTGATCCCCGTTTGAATTTGTTGATCCCTCAGCCTCAATTGGAATCTCTGAGACTCTGAGAGAATTCGAAGACAGTCTGGACAGGAAGAAGCAGCACCCCGGCCGCAACCAGCAGAGAGAAGTGCCAGACAACGTCTCCGAAGCACCGGGGTGCCGGGGTTTCATTTGCCGAGGATGCCATGGTCCGGATCCTCGAGCAGGATGCCCACAGCGCATGCGAGTTTGCTCAGCGCAGGAGAGCCCACAGCTGAGTTAAGCCGGAGCTTCTGGCAAGTGTTGTTTGCATATCCATAAACAGGCTTTTGGATGAGATGCAGATGCAGATGGCCTTGTGGGCAATGGCCTTCAACACTCAGCTCTTCATTTTGCCGAGCTGCTCTGCGCAGCTCTGAGGCTTCCGCTGAGGCTGCTGGCGAAGGCGGAGCCGCGAAGCGGTCGTTGAGTCCTGTTTGCGGGCTGTGGTGGCTGTGGTGTGAGATGATGAGATGGTCAGGTGCTTCAGATAGCGATCAGCTTCAAGTGGCAGCTTCTCAGCCCGAGCTCTCCCAGACGCAGGCGATCCCGCAGACTCGAAGGACCAAACACCTCCGCATCAGCTTGAGGCGACACTCCTTGCGGCAGCTGAGGCAAGGGCTCACACTTGGGGTCATGCGCCGGTGACGGCTAGTACTAGTGTGTAAGCATGGTGCCGGAGGAGGGCAATGCATCCCAGCTCCTCGTGGCACTGGCTGAGGCCAAGCTGTGAGCTTTCTTTCAGTTGGCTGTGCAATAGAAGTCAGTCGCAAGGTCGCGAGGCCGCAAGAGAACACACTCGGACTCAGAAACGTTTAGTTTCCGAATTCGTAGTTATCCCTACGTTTTCAGTTCCGAATCCGTGCGCGACCCCACAAGCTTCAGAACGCAGGGGTAGGCAAGTGGCAGATGTTTTTGCGGGATGACCAACCCTGCAGGCCAAAAAATTCAGCGTGGTCTCCATCTCCCTGGAGGCGGCAGCACACGGCCAGGGCAATGCCGTTTTCCCTTGTAAGGTATGAGGACAATATGTTCCCCTTGCGGGCATGCAATGGAAGTATTGTTAAGATACGAATGTCAAGTGCAGCGCCGGGTTAGCATGAGTGGCTGATAGAGCAAAGTCAGTCTTGTGAAACCTCGGTCGCCGGTCCCAACCGTCTCGTTTCGATGCGACATTCGTCTAGTCAATTCTGTCCCCAAGTTCGCGGCTAGTGTCCGTGTGCCTTGCTCAGCGGAGGAAGCTGCCAAGGGCTTGCGAGAGTCGGAGGAGGCGATGCTGACACTCGGCAGCAGACGACCTAGGAGTGTCGAGGCAGAGTGACATGGGCCTTCAGCGAGGTTTGCATTTGAGCTCAAAAGCAGGACCTGGCGATGCCTGCGGAGAGCCCTCAGGG